CAAAATGGTAACACGGGTGCCCCACTCTGATAATTACCAAAGGCTCCGCCCCGCACAATTTACAGGTGCTGTTTCTACGACAGGCCACGCTGCTAAGACAGGGAGTCAAAGCAGCTGTTCCTAATACACAGAAACAAATGCAGGGAGGCTGCCAAATTGAGGAGACAAAAAATTGGTCCACGTGAGAGAACAGAATAAAACCCCGCCCCCCCAACAAAAGAACTAAATGAAACAGAGATGCCAACCTTCAGAGGCAGAGTCCAAAACACCAGTGACCAGGGTGCTCGGAGAACTCACCGAGTGTGACAAAAGCATAAAAGAGACCCAGGAAGAAGTGAAGGTTACACTAAGTGTAACAAAGAAAAATATACAGAGAAGGGAAGGAAGCTTCAATGATTCAAATCAATGATTTGGAACAAAAGGAAGGTATAAACATTCAAGTGGAACAGAGAGAAGAAAAGAATTAAAAAAAAAAAAAGAGATTAAGGAGCCTCTGGGACATCTCCAAATGCACCAACATCTGACTCATGGGGGCGCCAGAGAGAGGAGAGGAAGAGCAAGGAACTGAAAACTTACTTGGAAAAATAATGAAAGAAAACTTCCCTAATTTGGTGAAGGAAATAGACATACAAGTCCAGGAAGCACAGAGAGTCCCAAATAATTTGGACCTAAAGAGGAACATATCAAGACACATCATAATTAATTTGCTAAAGATTAAAGATAAAGACAATCTTTTAAAAATATTTTATTTATTTATTTTTAGAGAGAGAGGAAGGGAGGGAGAAAGAGGAGAGAAACATCAATGTGTGGTTGCCTCACACGTGGCCCCCACTGGGGGACTTGGCCTGCAACCCAGGCATGTGCCCTGACTGGGAATCGAACTGGCAATCCTTTGGTTTGCAGCCCGAGATCAATCCACTGAGCTACACCAGCCAGGGTGATAAAGACACAATCTTAAAGGCAGCAAGAGGTAAGGAGACAGTCACCTAGAAAAAAGTTCCCATCAGACTGTCAGCTGATTTCTCAAAAGGAACCTTGCAGGCAAGCAGGGGCTGGAAAGAAGTATTTCAAATCATGAAAAGCAAGGACCTACATCCAAGATTGCTCTATCCAGCAAAGCTTTCATTTAGAATAGAAGGGCAGAAAAAGTTGTTTCTCAGATAAGGTCAAGTAAAGTTCATTATCACCAGGCTCTTATTATATGAAATGTTAAAGGGACTTATCTAAGAAAAAGAAGATAAAAAGTATGAACAGTGAAAGGACAACAAACTCACAACTATCAACATCCGAACCTAAAAAACAAACAAACGAAGCAATCCACTAGAACAGGAGCAGAATCACAGAAATGGAGATCACATGGAGGGTTATCAGTGGGGAGAGGGAGGGGGGAGAGGGAGGGCGGAGAGCGGGGGAAAAGGTGCAGGGAATAAGTAGCATAAACAGTAGGTAGAAAAATAGACAGGGGGAGGTTAAGAATAACACAAATGGAGAAGCCAAAGGACTTACAAGCATGACCCGTGGACATGAACTAAGGGGGGGAATTGCTGGAGGGAAGGGGGTAGCAGGCAGAGTGGGGCAAAGAGGGAAAATTAGGACAACCGTAACAGCATAATCAATAAAGCGCACTGAAAGAACTAGCATCTTGACCTCAGCTGGGTTTCAGCCCGAGGCCACGACAGGCCTGAGGAGCCGGGCAGCACCTGGGCTGACGTCAGGACCCAACGCACGGTCAGCCCTCCCCGCCCTGGCCCAGCCCGTCCACCGAGCCCGTGGCCCCAGCTCCCGAGGCTCTGTGTCTAATAATAGCAGCCACCGGGGTCACCCTCGTGAGCTGAATTTACACTATTGTGTCTTGGAGTTTGCCCAACGCTACTGTAAGGAAATCAAATAAAAACGGCACCCTCAAAGCGGTGCTCATCCGACTTCCCTGTGCCGTACATGGTGGTGATGGAATCTCGGGATTTTTGGAGGAAACCTCGTCTGTTTGCTCAGCCTCTCCGGGTGGCCTCGGTCTGGGGCGGGGACTGCAGGGCGCAGCCCAGGTGCAGCCCATTGGGGTGGAGATAAGAAATGATGCGTTCAGGTCGCACCTGGCAGAGGCACCCAGCAGGCACCGACGGGGCTGCTAACGAGGTCGACTCACTACAGGTGGGCACTGCTGCCCGGCCGTCGGCTGGGGCTGGCCCTGCGGGAGGCTTGGAAGGAACCTGGTGCCCACTCCCAGCAGCACAGCCTTTCTGCGGGTCAGCACCGCTGCTGTTCTGCCCCATCCCTTCTGTTCTCCATTTGTAAGTTCCTGTGGTATGTGTGGGGGAGAGAGACAGAAAAACATCGACCGGTTGCCTCCTGTACGCTCCTGACCGGGAATCGAACCCACGCCCTCGTCCTGGGCCCTGAACTGGGAACCAAGCCCGAGAGCTTCTGGTTTACGAGTTGATGCTCCAGCCGCCCAGCAGCCCGCCAGGGCCCTCAGGTGGTCGGGTTAACGGCCCCGCCTCCGCGAGGGGCGGGCAGCCTCCCAGGTGTTCACACAGCGCAGAGCAAACCCACAAATGAGCAAACTTGGGGGCCCTGCAACCAGCACGGGCTCAGCGAGGGCAGGTGCTCGCCGGCCGTCGAAGAGGGTTGGGGAGGTGCTGGGCCTCGGCCCCCTTGCTCTGCACGCCCTCGCCGGTCACCGTCCCGTGTGCGTGGCCTCCGGGGAGTGTCTCCTGTGCCAGCTCAGTGGTGCAAGTCGGGGGGCGACACACACCAGAATTTGTTTATAAGACAACGAGTATTTATTCCCACATGTTGCGCCGTTTGGTGCAGCGCATCCGCTGAGGCCCAGCCCCACTGCTCAGCCCCGGGCGGGGGCTCAACGGGCTGCCTCTTAGTGCTTCTGGCGTCTCCCTTTCCCTGTTTCCGCGCCGGCAAAACGCGTCCCTTTGGGGACTTTTTCCATCTGGGGAAACAAACGAAAAACCCACTTGGGGTGAGGTCAGGTGACTCAGGAGGGCGGGGCCCGGAAGTCAGGCCGTTTTGGGTTAAAACTGAACGCCCACCGCGCGGTGGGCAGACGCGGCGGGTCTGCAGTAAATTCACCGCAGCTGAGTGCGGCCTCTCACAGCAGCGGCCGGTGCGGCCCCTGCGGGGATGGCCTGTCCTGCAAGGGGCCGCCCTCCAGGAGGTCACGGGGCCTCCGCGGGCTCCCCTCCAACGTTCACACGGGAGCCACGTGTCTGACTTGGTTGCCCTTCTGGGTGCTTGTCCAGGGCGGGCGTTTGGGCGTCTGGCCCACTGTGCGGCCGGAATGAGAGGAGGCTTTCCGACGCCTGTGAGTAACTCGGCCCCGGGTCTTCAGGGTCTGGGACGGGTTTTCTTTGCTTGTAAGAAAGAAGCCCGGCCAGTGGAGGGGAGACCTCTTCGCCAAGGCCCTAGGACACAAGGCCTGCGGGGCAAACCCGGCCCCCGTCTTGTTTGGGCCGGCTCGGCACCTGGTTTCTACCCGGCGGCAGCGCCAAGCTCCCGCTTAACAGTTAAGGGTAGTTCCACTTACGCAGTCCTTGTTACAGTCGTCCCTGTGAAGGCCACCAGGAGGCTGATGTGGCCCCCGGTGAGGATGGGTGCGACACCCCTGGCCTAAGGGCTCCTTGCCCTTCTGGGACTTGTCCACCGCCCGCCCCACTCCTGGACTCTCAGAACTGGACAGGGGCAGCCACGCGAGGCCAGCCCACGGCCTCCCACTTCCTTGGGCCTCGGTGCTGCCTAACCACCCGGTCAGGGAGGAGGTGGGAGAAGGTGGCCTGGGGTCCTCCCGGCCTCACTTGCTAAAAGGCGTTTGATGGAACAGTGTTTGCACGTGGTGGCCACCGGCCCTGAAACTGGCTTCCAGCCTCACCCAGGGCGGGTGTGGGGCGGGGGCTGCCCCGCCTGCCAGAACGAAGGTGCGGGACCCAGCGGGTTGATCTCAACTGCAGGTCAACACACCTCCAGGGGTCCGGCTGGCCTCCGGGCAGGAGGGCTCGGGGGCCAGATGAGACCCCTCAGGTGGGTGCCCACGGAGTGGGGCCTTCACACCCGACGTTCACGCTGGTGGGCCTCAGAACCACCTGCGGGGGGCTGGGCGCCTGTGGGTTCTGTGCTGCCGAACAGGCTCCCACCAGGGCCGAACGGCGTGGGGAGCCGCGGCCAGAGGGCGGCTGGGTGGGCGGTGCTGGGGGAGGCAGGCGAGAGACTCAGACTCTGGTCAAGGTTTTGGTGGCAGACGGTGGCTCTGAAGGTGGGGCTGGGGGCTGGTTTAAAGGGGCATTTGTGTCACGGCTGGCTCGACCGAGTGGCTGACCGACGGGCCACAGGAAGGGCTGGGACGAGGGGCCGGTGGGCTCACGACGGACAGACATGAGGAGAGCAGTGGGGCGGCTGTGCCCTCCCTGTGCTGGGGATGCGGGGGGGCCCCCCATTGCCCACGGCGACATGAGCTCCAGAAGCCCCTCCTACGTCCTGCCTGGTGGGGGGGGAACTCCAGAAAGTGCGGCTCGAGTGACAACAGCCTTAGTGGTGGCACTGGGGGGTGAGCAAGTCCCGCCTTCATTGCCACCAGCACCTCCTCCCTTTAAAAAACCGAGCGGATTGCGCGGAAGAAATGACCAGGGCGGCTCCCTCCGGCCCCAAATCCCCAGCACATGGCCCGGCCATGCGGCTCCCGTCTTGGCAGATGACAGATGCCAGGGGGCGCGACCGGAGCTGCAGCCACCTCGGGCTTTTGCACAAGGAGGCGCTTGTTTCTCACTCGCGTGTGACGGCATCACGAGTGCCGGGTGCACGTGAGGGGCCCGATGAAATGTGTGGCAATCACTGAATTCTTTGCATATTTTATTTTTCGATTTTTTGATTTCCAACTCACACACATCTGGCATATTTTACATCTTTGCAATAAAACATGGTTACAATAGCTTAAGGAATTTATATATCCAAAATAGTTCACCATGATCTCAGGATGACATGGACTTGTCTTCCAGATGTTCAGGGACTTCCCGATTCTAAGCTACAGACTCAAGACGCTGCTCACAGCCTGGCAATGAGTGACTGGATCTCTACGCCGACCCCCAGAATTCCAGAATCTCATAAATACAAACGACAGGGGAGGAGGAATCCAGTGCTAAAACTTACTAGTACGAGGTGAGTAACAAAGGCGTAATCACAGCAATAAATAATGATATGTTTCTGGTGCAAAGTGCCAATAGAAAGAACCCATTATCTTGTTTAATCTTTTAAAATAAATCACCGCAAGTGAGTGTAAATTCCGAGAAAATTACATTCCTGTAACATGCCTCATAGCCCTACCGACACAATATGTACATCTATGACGACACGGTCACCAAACGTACAGAGAAGAAACATAAATGAAGTGCACACACCCCTGGGCGTGTGACTGGGCAGTGCCATGGGTGGAAAGCTGTCTGACAGCCGTCACTGGGCACGGGAAGGGGCCGAGTGCCTTAGGCTGAGAATGCGGCTTCGGGGACACTCCAGCTACGGTCACTCCTGCAATGAGAGAAACTAGGCTATTCGAGAACCGAAGAGAAAAACCAAACAGGGTGACGGCGACGAAGGAGCCTCAGCGCCTCCTCCGCGGCTTGCGCACGCCCGCAGAGGGTCCCGGAGGGCAAGCCCGGGGCGGGGACGGCGTCGCGAGGAGCCGTGGGCACGACCCCGTCTGCACGGTGAGCCCAGGCCTCACCGGCCGTCTGCTGCGTCTTCAAACTACCAAGGGGGGGGGGGGGCTGCATCTTCCATGTATCAGGTACCAAAAATGGCAGGTAATGGCTTCGTATCCAAATGCTTTATGGGTGAATTTCACTTAGAAGGGATGAATTTAGATTAAAAAGTGCAAACCATATTTGAGTGTAAATGTCAAAAATTCCCGACTGAGCCCAAACACGACCCTCTCGTGGCAGCTGTGCCCTGGCGGGGGCCCCTCTGCTCCACGGTGGTGGTGCGCCTGTCCTATCGAGACCTCAGGACTAGAGAACATGCAAGTTGTAACTCCGCAGTAAAATTAAGAAACTTTTTTATACAAGGTTTTACTTTTACAAAAGTATCCCTTTAAATAAGATGCATCTGATGTACAAAGTATCAAACATGTTTTTTTCTCAGCTTGAAAAGAGGCTGGAGATGGGATGCGGGTCAGGCTCAACGCTCCGGCTTCCTAACCGCGGGGCACAGCGTCCTCAGAAGTGTCCAGAGTCTCTTGTGACGCGTCCTACCGCCTTGTCTCGACGAACGACAACAGGTGAATAATTACCAAACATTTCCTAGTCTACGATTTACATGACAGAAGCTTGCGTGGCAGCCGCCGGCCTCAGTGGCGAGGGGACGCGGAGGGACCGCAGGTGCTGGGTGGGCGGGTGCAGGGACGGAGGCCGGCGGAGCGGCTTCCCACCCGGTGCTGCCTTTCCGCGCGGCGCCCGTGCTCTCGGCTCTGACCGGCTCCCGGCCCGTCCGGCCTTCAGTATCTGTTCTGGTGCTCGTAGTGCCACCGGTTAAAGTCTATGTTGAAAGCCACGATGCTCCCGGAAGCCATGCCGGTGATCAGTGTCCTGGAAGGGCAGAGGGAGGGACACCAGTCACGGACCGGCGGCTGCTTTGCCCCAGGCGCCAGCCTGACCTCCCAGTTCCTGCGGCTTGAGCACCCAGAGGCGGGAGGGACGGTGATTCCTGGTCCTCCAGGGGGACACTGAATCAGGCCCGCACACCTGACCCACCGAGCCACGTCAGGGAGTGTGCACCCTCGATGGACGCTTATCCACCAGTTCCTAACTCGTGGGTGTGCATTATGGCTCCAACAGCGAGGGCTCATATAACACGGGAACAGCTGAAATGGGGCGTGAGGGCCTCCTGGTGTCTCATGAAGACGCACAGGCCTGGCCGGTACTGCCCTCAGCCTCGTTGGTGACCCTTCTGGGACTCGGTGAGAGCCCTGCCAGGGGTCCTCCTACGCCCTCCCAGAGCCGGGTCTGCCCCTCTGCCCCTCGCATGCACCGGGCAGGGTTATCTGAGCGCTCTGGGGGCAGCGACCCCGTGTCCCCACTCTCCAAGGGCACAGCAAACGCGCACGTGTGGCGAGCAAGCAGGATGCCAGCGGGAACGGCGGCTCCATCGCTCAGATTATGTCAGAGGCTGCAGTGCCCTGTGCACACGGTGAGTGACCGTCCGTAACCACCGCCCTGCCCAGCGCTCGAGACGGCCTGCTCACTCCGTCCCTGCAGACAGACTCCGCGGCAGATGGAGCCGCCCTCCCCCCAAGCGGAGCAGAGGACTCTGCTCTCCTTGGTGACTGTGGTCCCCTTTCACGACATCATAACGAGGCCTTGTCAAACTTACTGCGTGAGCCCTGACATCCCTAATATTTTAAACACCAATCCTCTTATAAAGATACATAGAGCTGCAAAAAGTTGGTTAATAAGCGTTTCATTTTTCCTGTTAAATACAGAGTGGGACAGGAGTTGTTTGCATGGAAAATAACAGGAATTAATAAAAGATATGATGAGAATAAACTGTTTCACATACTCAAAACTATAAGCCTATGTTTGTGCTACCATATTAACTTATGTAGTTTAATTTTTCAAATTTACAATTTTTCTAAAGACTGTACATTCTGAATATTCTTTTCACTTTATAAAAAACCCAGAGGTGAATTTTAGGAACAGCGAAATCCTGTTGCAAACTGAGGACAAGGAGAAACCACATTAACTAGTTAATTCTCATACCAACCCTTCCTAAGGAAAGGTCGCGGTGTCTCAGGGAAGCCCAGGAAACCCGACCGAGCGAGGGGACTGCGGAGTCCAGACCAGGAGGGCGTGCCTGCGCTTTCGGAAGCAGAGGCTGCCCGCGTGGCTGGCAGGGCGTGGGGTGGACGCCCGTCTGGACATGTGCGCCCCTTCCCTCCCGGCCACCGGGGCCCGTGTGAGAGGAGGTGGTTCCGTGGGGCGGGGAGACCTCCGAGTGCCCACCCGCCCCCGGGCGGCTCACCTCTGGTCGTGGGACAAGTCCATGGCTCTGATGCCAGCGTCACAGCCGGGGTAAATGTACAGCTGCTTGAAGTCACAGGCCTGCCACACCTCCACCACACCGTTGTCCCCTCCGGTCACCAGGTTCTGGCCGTCGCTGCTCAGGAGGATGGCCTTCGGGAAAGGCAGACAGACGACCGTTCCCAGTGTGTCCCCGACGGCCGTGCCGCTGCCGAAGGCACTGAGCACAGCTCCCTGGGGACCATGGCTGCCCTTCGACCACATTTTCTAAAGCCTGACCCACGGGACTGCCGACGTGGGGCTCACCAGACTTACTATGCAAACAGAGTAACAGAAGTCCCACAGAGAATATTAGCGATCGAATCCAGCGAGAGATTGAGACTGAGCTACCAGGATGTTTTGTTAACGCCCAGTCCTGAATTTTAACAAAGTCGAGACTTCCAGAATGAATGGGAAAAGCCTATTTGTGTTAGCTTTCAATAATGGTACGCCAGCAATCACGTCCATGTGGGGGTGAAGGGCAACGTCCCTTTGCTGCGGGGTTCTGAAGACCAGATTCCTTCATTACAAAGTCACATGCAGAGTCAGCTACGGCACCGAACCGCTCGTTCGTACGGGGAGTCGGAGGGACACCCCACCCGGGTCCGGCCCCTGCTCCAATGACACCGTGACCTGCAAAGGCCACTTCACTGTGCGAACCGATTGGGCTTCGGTGACCTGCGGGTTTGTTCTGTGGGAACCTGCACGCTCCGGGGGAAGCTGAGAAATTCTATCGTGAGCCACGGAGCAGAAGCCGCTCGGGGCGGCCAGCACCGCCCTGAGCCCGCGTGTCCGCACCGGCGCCGCCTACCCGGGTGGAGTCGCTGATCTCCATCTGCGCCAGCAGCTTCCCGTTGATGCTGAAGTTGCTGAGCCGGCCGCGCTCGTAGTAGATGATGCAGTGGCCCTCGCTGGACACGGAGATCAGGCGCGGCGACGGGCAGTTCTCCGGCCCCTCGAGGGCGCGCAGCAGGTCCCCAGTGATCGTGTGCACGAGGCAGGGGCCCTCTGCGGGGGGCGGGGGACCATGAGGACATGTCACGCGTCAGCTCCCACAGACCTGCCACCCGCACCCGGGCCGCCCTCACCTGGGGCAGAGCCGGAGCCGCGCAGAGCACGCACGCCCCTCCGCCCTCGGCATCCCCCCCACGCTCGTTCAGAAGGGCCCGGTGCACCGCTTGTGCGGGAACAGAAGACTGAACCCCGAAGCTTTTCCGTCATGTGTTTTTAACGGTATGTTCTTAAAATTTAAGGAGAACCATCAAAACAAACACTGATTTGTTTAGTAGATTGAAATCCTGACATTGTGTCACCTAAACACATTACTATCAAACGAGTTTCTCCGTTTGTACAAAAACACCAAATCAAGTGGTTCGCACAACAGCACGTCCTCTGCCCTGTAAGGAAGCGAGCAGTGGGGCGGGCGTGCGGGGGCCGTGTCCCGCCGTGGAAACCGTGTCAACCACACGAACAACTCATCAGTCACACCCGCAGAACAGCGGCTCTCCCAGTTTGGGGGGAAGCCCCTGAAGCCCACCAGTCACCTGTCCTCCTGCGTAAAAGATGGCAGGGCCCCCCAGCGCGCGGCCCTCGTACTTGTAGTAAGATGGACACTGAGGCCGCCCACTGCCCGCCCCCCACACCCCTTCCCCTCACTGCGTGGCACCCGCACTTGGCCCCTGGAGTTTTCTTTGGTTTCTCTGAGGTCAGGCTCCTTCCGCCCCAGATTCCCCCCAGAAAGACCCGGTATCTGAGCCAGAATTGGAGGCCAGGTCTCCCAACTTCTCCCAGAACGACATGCCTGCCACAAAACAAAACAAACGAAACAGACGCTAATCCCCAGTCAGTGATTTTCAACCCTTCTCATCCTGCGGCACACACACTAACCAAAAAATCCACGTTTTGCCAATCTGACAAAGAACAGGTGCAATTCGGAAGCGTTCACACTGAACAGCTGCTGAACGGCGGGTGCCATTTTACGGACGGTCTAGGGGAGAGGGGTCAGCGCCCCGGCTAGGGGAGTGGCAAGGTGCGTTTCTGTCCCTGGGGCGCGGGGCTGAGACTCGCCACCCTCAGTGCCCACCCTCCCCCGAGCTGGGCCCAGCCCGGGCAGGGGGCCTCGGGCTCTGTCTGAGGAGCCAGGCAATGCCCGTGGCCCCATGGACATCTCCCGCTTCCTCCCTCTCGATCGCCCCACATGGGGGCAGGGCCCCTCCTGGGAGGCAGAGGCCACGGCCGCGGTCACTGGCAATGGGACAGGACAGGTGCGGTGCCCGGCCTGCTGGCCTGCGCTCGCCGCCTCCGGGAACGTTGTCGCCATCCCGCCTGGGGGGACACAGCTGCTGGGCGAGCCCCAAGATGGGAGAAGGGGTGTCCTCTGACCTTTAGCACCGCTGATGACCAGTCCCAGCTCCGCGCAGACAGACACACAGACGACTTCGTGGTCATGGCCCGTGAGGACGGCCCTGGGCGCCGGGTAGTCACCTGTGGGGGACAGCACCAGTGAGTGGCCTCGGGAGAGGAGCTTCCCGTCACCCCCACCCACACCGACGGGCCCAGCGTCCTCGCAGACCAGGGCTGCGCTCACCCCTCTGCCACCGCAGCGGGGGCCTTGGTGACGGGAGAGCCCAGCGAAGGTGGTGAGCTCGCACCCTGCGGGAGGTTGCTCCTGTGCTCTGGCTAGGGTCACAAGACGGCGCCGAGCCTGCCAGGGCGTTTCCCTGCCTCCTGTCATTAGTGGCGGTGCTGCCCGATGAGGTCGTCCCCGCTCTTGCCCCCGGTCCCAGCCTGGACCCCGGGCCCCGCAAGGCTGCAGCTGCCAGGGCTGCACCGCAGCCGTCTGTCCGCTTTAAAACCTGGGCTGGGCCGGCTGGCAACGCCCCCCAGCAGGCCGAGGGCTCCGGGTCGGAGGGGAACAGGAGACTTTCCGAAGCCAACCCCAGCTCAGGAGCCGCCAGACTGCAGGCCATGGGTGTTCTGGCAGCGGGGCGCCCTCCCAAACCCGGACAGACACCCTGAGCAGCTGGCTGAGTGGGAGGCGGAGGTGCAGGACGTGACCTAGGGGGGCGAGAACACGTCAACCAGCCACGCCTGGCAGGCTCGCTGCCCCCGCAGGCAGGCGTGGTGACGAGGCCGGGGGACAGGGCTGGTGCGCAGAGCAGGACGGTGACGCCC